GATATGCCTTTTGAAAATTGAGGTAGGTGACAAAACAGTTCTGAATACATGGTATTTTTAGCGAAAAATGTGATATTTAAGCGGAAATCAAAATACATAAGGACATTCAATAAATTGTTATGTAAAATATTATTATATCTATGCCTCTTCCGTTAGCCAGTCGGGCTAAGTTTTCTGCCCCCTGCGGGGGGAGGGTGTAGGATTTTGCGCAGACTTAACAATACTATTCATTTCTCAGGATTGTAAAATACAAATCTGTATCTGTATTACATTTCCTGCTCAGAGTTATTATTACAAATGCTGATACCTGCACTTACCTGTATAAATAAAAATGAGTTGAGTTTTATTCAATATAGTTTTTAGCTGTGTCGAAACCTTTGCTGGCATTACATTGATTGTTTAAAAAATAAATTTTATCCGAGAAAAAAAATCCACAAAAATTTTTATTGAATTATAACAGGAAATTGTTTTTCTTCAAAGTAAATGCTTTATAAATTTTCCGCTGAAATTTTATGTCTATTCACACCTTTGCAAGTCCTTCGCCCATACATCTCCTATTAAGTTCATTCATGTATTGTGATTTAATGATATAGTTGGCTTTACAAAAACGCAATGGGTGTTTGAAAAAATATATATAAAGATATTAAAATATTATCCAATAATTTTTTTTAATCGTAAATATAATTCATCTATCAGCATTACCAGCTGATCAGGGTGCCCCTTGCCTAAAACTCCTTTAAAATTGCGGAAATGACATACAATGTACAGCGATTCGCATGACTGCATATTGTATCGATAGAAGGGAGTCATAAAACAACATGATGGGATATATCAATGTAAACAAGTTTCACACCTTCGCGTTCCTTTTCTTTATACAAAGAACCAACATAGTTACGTATAATCCCATGGATTATAGTATTGGTACATGTATTAATTTAAGACCGTATATTGGGACTTCTTCTAAATCGATATACATTTAAATGCTGCTGCATCGTATAACCCGTTAAGAGAAAAAAAATCCAAATTATTTGTAAATATTAATTATAAATAAAGTTTTTAAAAGGGTGTTTGGATGCCCGGAACGTTTATTATGGCCGGAACCAAACTTACGCGGGCTGGAACGTTTATTATAGCCCGGAACCAATATTATAGGTATTTAGCGTTTCGGCCGGAACGCTAAGTTACCCGGAACGTAAATTATGCGACACCGGTCACACCTACCGTGTGCTCCTTGTCATGATCGGATAAGCAGAGAGCAAAACAGGTCATTGTATCTACCATGGGATTTGCAAAATGTTGAATTTCAACGAGATTGTAGATAACCTTGTATCATCAACTTATTTATTAATAGCCTGTCTCGTTTTAGAAATTGTTCGTAGGAACTGGGAGACTCTGTATGCAGATGATAATGGTATATTGTTAAATAAATAAGGGGAAATTCACGACAGAAAAGTTGAAGTCATCACGTTTATCATAAAATTTAGTTGTTAGTTTGCCACCAATTGATGTCTTCCTGTAGTAAAATCAAATAAGAAACAGATGTGTCTGACACTGTAGTGTCTTGTTTCGAGTTCAATGGGATATATCTAATCAATGTAGGAATGAGACTGAATATTATTAATCGATAAAATGTAAATGTCGAATTGAAGGCCGCAAGAGACTTCTTTTCATGTAAAGTTAAAAAAAAAATAAATAAATAAATTCTGCTTCTTATGAATAATAATATAATAAAATCAGGTCTGGTAATAACAGACACAATTATTACCTATTCCAGAAAACTAAATGTATAAATTGTTACTAACCATAAGAGGTTAAGATTTTAGAGAATAATTGTATACGCGACTATTACGTGGAAAACAGTTTTCGGATGTAGATCTACATGTTTTCCTCATACATGTATTCATGTTATATTTATATACTGCAGAATTCTACTTGCATCTTTTATATATATATATATATAAAATTGTATATTATTGCAAGAAGCTTGTACGATCGAGCAAAAAATATTTTCTGGGTTATTTCTTAAAACTCCGAGACGTCACGGTTTTCCGTGTTGTAATTTCGAGATGTCGCCTTTATCCAATGCTTTGACAATTCAATATTATATACCGGCACGTAAACGACAGCACATTCAATCTGCTACCGTAATAACCGATGTGTTACAACAAAAAATTTATTAGCCCATGCGTCAAAATTTCTAATTAGCGATAAATTGGAAATTGGTACGATGAATCCACGAATATGCACGTATAAATGTTTTATCTTACAACACATTAACAGCATTAATAAAGTATAATGGCATATAATGACAGCTTCGTCTTCTCATGTGCAGATGTACAGAAAACTACAATTAACTAAAAATATGTGCTTGTGATAATAATTTTCTTTAGGTTTCTTTTTATCGAAATGTCAAATGAAAGTCATAAAAAGTGTTTCCTGTAGCCTATTATTTGAATTTTATGATACAGTGGCGGATTCAGGGGGAGTTTGGGGGGTTCGGGACCCCCCCCCCCCCCCAATCAAAAAAAAAATTTTTTTTAGAAGTGTCATTTTAGACATAAGTGAGACTCTATCCAAGCCCCTTGTTTTACACAAAGAGGTGAAATATACAGCCACCACGAAAAACCCCTTTCCGCTTGAGCGCACATAATACTCAAGTAATCAAAAGTTACAGAGATCATGATAGTCCGTGCAGCTAGTGATGACACAAGGTCAAATACTAACAACCAAAACTGCACATAGTTATTACGGTATATTGTTTTGGTGTTGCTTATTATAAGTAATATTCTTTCATGAAATTTCTTTCTTCGATAATTGAATGTTACTTTATTGCACTACTTGAATAAACTGTGATTATTATTATTATTTAGAGAAAAAAAAATAATACAATCAGGAACGTATATACTATAGTATAAACGTCCCTGATACAATATTTTCATGACATAACTATACTGGGAAAGTAGACCTTTCGAGACTTTCAAGACTTTTTTTTCAAACTTTGGGCTAGTAAGTGGGTAAAAAAAATAGAATTAAAGAGTGTATTTATGTTAGAAATTATAATTACCCCCCCCCCCCATATTCGCTATAGCCAAGGGTTTTCGGGGGAGCGGAGTGGACCGAAAACCCTTGGCTAGCGAAGATCCCCCCCCCCATGAATAAGCAATAATTCCAACATTTCCCCAAAATAATTTATATTTATTCTTCAATATGAAATATCATTATTTGTTTATATTGCAAATTATATAAACAGCATAGTCAAGTAGTTGAAAAGAGTAATTAGGGTTTCTACACAGAATCCAAATTCTCTTAGTGTTGGGAAATTGCACATCAGTTGTACTTTGGTAGTCAGAGCTTCACATGCAACACATTGGACATGCATTTCAAAAAGAAAGAATTGGATATTATATATATCAAATGGCGATATTTCTAATTTTATCAGATTTTACATTGATTGATTGATTTTTTTTTTAGAAGTCTCATTTTTCATGTTTACATGGAAGTTAAAAATAAATCCCAAAATTTTAATTTTTTGTTCAAATTCTTGAAAATTTGGGTGGGTCGGTCTTGAAAAACAAGTGGCAAAAAACTAATTCATTCAGTCTTTAATGCTGGAAAATGCACCATTCTGAGCCATTTTTTAAAGAAAATTCCCGAACCCCAACCTATGGAAGGGGGACACCCCCTCCCATGCCCTCCCCCTTCGGCCCTATGGGCCTCAACCCCCCTCCCCCCCCCACCCACAAGAACTTCTGGATCCGCCATTGTGATATTCTGCAATAAGTTATAAACACGACTAATTTCATCAAGTAAAGCCAACACAATTAAGGTAACACATCAGTTATTTATTACGGTAGCAGATTGAATGTGCTGTCGTGTACGTGCCGATATAAAATACTGCATTGTCAAAGCATTGGATAAAGGGGTTTTTTTATTTTTAGATTTACAGACTCTAGAATCATAAAGTCCCGTCGGCGGAGGAAATATAAATAAAATCCTTCTAAACAAAGCCAAGTGGCATTAGTCTTCCAGTCTTTTTACTTGGGCCATCTGACATCGCCATTTTTAACAGGAAATACAAGTTTGTAAATTACAAATCTCGATCCCCATACTAATTTGAAATTCAAAATCTCGATCCCGTTCCAAGTTTGCAGTTCAAAATTTTGATCCCGTTGATTAATTTGCCGTCGGAAAGAATAAAATCCTGTTTTTCTTAATTGTATTGTTTTCTAAAAATTGAAAAAATTGAGCGGCGGGTTTATAAACCTAAAAATTAAAAAAAAAATGCTGGCCTAGGATACCAAATAAAAAGCTTTTTGGAGAAATTGAAGTTTTCCATAAATTCGTATTAATTGAAAAATCATTTGATCAAAACTAATAATATGCAAAAATGCATTATCATTCAGTTTTAAAAATTGTTTTCACATGATTATTTTAGCATTAAGAGTGCTACAATTGAATGTCGCCAATTTGAAGAAATTTTAATTATCTCTAATGACTGTCGATTGCAATAGATATAAAATATTCTATACTTATGTTATCTTTAACTTAAACGCGTACTTTCTAGCTGGCCTGGATACCCGCTAGTTAAGAAATGCATCATTTTGTCACAGCTTGCAAGTGTAGGAAAGACTTTCCCTAAAACTGAGCGTGAAACCTGAGGAAGTCGGTCGTAAATTACAGGTGTACTGTTTGTGTAGAAAACCCAGCAAAAACAGCTTTGACATTTACAAATAGGTCATTTATTATTGTAACATTTGCCTTTTTACCGGGGGATATGTCTAATGCTAAATTTAATTTGAGAAGCACGCTGTTTGCATACGATTGACTAATGATTGGTTGATTTATGTGTCAGAAACTTTTTTAGTACTGTGTAACATTTTTATAAGAAGTTGGCTATATAAACTACTATCCCGCTTAAATTAGTACATTGTATCTCAAAGTAAATTGCCAACTGTGAGTGTCGTTCAGACAACACTTAAACACAATTCATGAAAAACAGCGAAAGTTAAGTAGTTTAATAAAAAATAAAATACAAGCATACCATATCCACAATTGCGTATTGTATACTAGTGTTAAAATTTAACACCCTTAAAATTTTAATAAAAATATATGGCACATTTACGACGCATTTAAATCATTGAACATTCAAGAACCAAGAAAAGAAATAACATCATAAATCTGTTTCTAGGAGCACCATTTTCTTTTCTGATGGTCCATGAATTTCTTCTATCGTGGTTCGACATTTGGGTGGTATGTCTGTCTTTGCTCCCTCTTCGTCTGAAGAGGCCCGTTTGCCAGAGGATCCCTGATTCGCTGCCAACTTGGAATGCTGTTTGGACTTATCCTTGTTCTTTGAATCTACCTCTTCTTCCACGTGAACATCAACACTTGATACATGAATGCTTTTTTCATTAACCGTATGTTCGTCTGTCCTTATCAGTGACGGACTTGACTCGGGAACATTCACATATGACGGGTTTGGACAATCAACTTTCAATTTACAAGTCATCAGCTCATTATTTGAGATCTGATTATTTTGACTGGTATCTAAGTTTTGTGTTGTCCTAAGGTGGTCAAGAGATTCTAGCTGCATAGGGACATAAACGTTGTCCGAACTTTGTGCTTGAACCGTTTCTGAAATTTCAATGTTGGTATACTGGACGCTGTTGACGTAATCGCGATGCGTCAATTGGTCCGAGTACCCGGATGTGTCATGGCCACTCTCCTGAGCCGGGGGCCCATGAGTTTCTGTATTTCCATAGCTATCATAGCCTTCATCGTCTTTGTCTTTTTCGTCGTCACTATCGGTATTCGAGTAGCAAGGCAACAGAACACATTTAAAACATATGGTTTTGCAACCGGGAATATGTAGGATTCCCCGAAATGCCCTTCGACACCCTTCTCTGCAGGCGCTGTAAAAAGAAGGGGGAGGTTAAATACAGTAATAATGAATACTGATAGGAGTAATATACTTACCCTTAGACAAGTCATCTTTTATACACCATTATCCAGTTATCAATGTAATTATAAATTACGTAAGGCTCCCGTCGCGTAGTTATTAGATAGCTGGATACGTAAATTGCGTTTTGTCTGGTGATGGCTTGACAATGCGCGTGAGTCAGAGTTTTATGTGGTCAATTACAGAAAAATCTCATATGTTGTCATGTTCATGTCTTATACGTCATTCAAATATCACTAATTTCACGAAAACCGACATTCTCCTGAAATATGATTAAAACACTATTTCAATAGTGCTTCTATTTCCAAAAGCATGATGCAGATATTATATAACAGAGTTATAGTATACACTCAGCACAAACTCCTTGTAGACATCAGAGCTTTTCAAATTCATTAAGTCTAAAAAAAAAAGATTTAATCATCTGTTTAAATGAAGTAAATAATTACTTAAGAACCTTCTATACTCGGCACACTAAAGAGTTCCGATTTGTATATGCAGTTAGAGTAATCTGCTCTTCGATCTAAAATAGAATAAATGGAAATCTGCAGTGTATTACTCAATTTGTAATCAATTTAAGCATTCTTAACATTTTCATAGTTCAAGATGAAAAGACTGAACACTTTTTGCATGTATTTTTCCTACTTAAGTAAACAACAGTGATGTCAATTTATCGTTACTTCTTGTCTGAGAACATTTTTCTTTTGGGGACCCTATGTTAAAAAATTAATTAGATATACTCAGTATTTACACCTTTATAAAAAAAATTTTTCCAAATGTCCAAAAAAAAAATTCTTGTTGTGAACATAGGGTCCTTAAGATCATTGTGATCAACCCTCAAATTGTTCTAAAATAACTGTTTGTGTGAAATATACTCCTTGAAATAAAAACAACACTGAAAGATCATATTTAAATGACCCCTGTCTCTTTCAGTAGCACATCGTGTCATCATTACAGTAAATATGACATGGGTATTTCTGTCTTATCTATCAATTCCAGGAATGTTGAGACATTCGATCAATGATAACGTGGCGGAAACCAGATAGTCCGTAGATTGTGATAAGCCTTTATAGTATCATGATGTTTTTGACTAAAACAAATATGTATATCGATTAGTTTGAAATATATTGTACAATGTGAAGATTACAGCAATTGAAAATCATTTTTATTTTCAAGGACATAATTTTTTTTCTCGTGTATAAATACTGTCAATATCCAAACTTCACCAATATGCTGAAAAATTGATTGTTGTTCTATTGATGTGATTTAAAACATTTGAAAAGGAAAAAAATATGATGAATGCCTTACCTCATTTGGCGGCCGATGTCAGAGACGAAATATCGCCGCTACAAAGGAACGGGCTTCATCCTGCAAAAAAGTAATTGGTTGATCACAAACTAGTAATATTACACAACACTTCAGATATACCAGCGGGACATGAGGGTCCTTTGCAGCATGTATAGCATGGCCATTATTTACAGATAGCTGCATAATTCATAAGCTGATGAAAACAATAAGGCACAGCGATTATACTAAACAATCTCGTGTAGAAATCGATTCGCTACGTCACAATCACCAGCCTGTACGGCCAACCATTGATTTCTTCAGAAATATAAACGTATACATGAACTATTTGTTCATTAGTGATTAGTAGTGAATTTGATCTGTTAATGGTTTGGTGTAGACCAGAGATTGGTGGGAACCCTGGGGGGTACTGTAACGCTTGCATTGTGTTTAGTTTTTTTTTAACGAGGGCTATCTGACCTAAAAGACTTTTACCAAAGAAAGCAACTTGCTGAACCCAACATCCACAGCCAATCAGTTTAAAGATGACAACCATTACAGGTTGTTATACCTATAAAAATTAGTTCCTATATAAATCTATATTATAAAAGTCTAACATTTCTAGTGTTTTACTGAGCGGTCATAAAAAAATCAATGTTTGACCGCAGAATGAGATATTGGACCTGTCGAAGAGATATTGGACCCCTTACGTCACACTGTGGACGGGATCAGCTAAATCTTATTCGCATTCGTTGGTATGGAAGCCAGCAAAAGATACATGTATAACATAAATAAATAAATAAAATGTATTACAAGACGTTGACAGTGTTCTCGGGCAAAATGCGGTTTGTCGACCCCTCGAACCAAACCGTTTGACTTCGGCCTGACGGCCTCATGCAAAAAGTTTAGTTCTTGGGTCCGACAAAACGCATGTTGCCCTCGAGCCCAGTCAATAAATGTTTAATGTTTTATACGTACTGTTGGCCTTGATATCAGCCACTTTCTTCAATATTCTAAGAACCCAATCGACATAGCGCCTGACAGCGAAACAAGGGATAAGGAAATGGTGACTAAAACAGGCAGCTTTAACTGTTGAACCTTTTATGAACACGGATGTTTTTTTTTAGTATATCAGTCTTACTAGTATATCAAAGGAGAAAGAGAATTACTATGGACAATATTTTAAGCATTTTGACTCTGCTAGAACACTGTTCAAACCTATGACCAAATGATAGAATTAGACAATCATTATAAAATTTATATAAAGGATGTCTCATTCTTCTTTTCAACTGAACTTGACCACATGAACACAACTGATATTCAAGAATATATTTTACAAAAAGACCTCAGTAATCATGAAACTGAAAGCATCTCAGGAAAAACAGGTATATTATCTATGGAGTAAAAAAAGTGGAAGACTTCTGCCTAAAGCAGTAGAGTTAACATGTATGGTATATAGGTCTATGTGGTATTACACAAAAAATACAAACCATGTGGATTTTTTAATTACTTTTTTATTCTTTTATAAAAATAAAATACTTTAAACATACAGTCAATATAACATTTATAAAAGAATAAAAATTCTTTGTATGTCTTTGTTATTTGTAAAACTTCTTTGATAATGATTAAAAGCTTAATTTGAAATTTAATGAATATGGTTGTCTTTGGTCCTTGAAAACTATTTGGAGCAAACAAACAAATAAATTTAAAAAAATGCCAGATTCATTTTACTCTGCATATTATCAAGAAAATCTGCTCTTGCATCTACTGTATTCTGCCTTATTTAAACTACTTTGTGTAAATACATGTATAAATTCATGACAATGATACTGTAGTGACAGTAATAATGAATATCAAATAAAAGAGTCAGAAAACTGTGAATTCAGCATGAAGCAAATATGAATCATGATTGAAAGATGCAAAAATAAACATGATTGAATCCAAGGATGCATTTAGTAACTCTATTTCTTCACTTTCTTATTTGGAGTTGATAACTCTATGATAGTGAGTTCTATGACTAATGAAATTGAATATTAATAAAATGTATGTTATTCTGATACTGAATAAATTGTTCACATACAATAAAACCTAATTATAGGGTAAAAGACAATATAAATATGATATTGCAAATCTGAATTTTGCTGCAAATTTACAATATATCAATAACTTGTCATAAATTTTGTATTCTACAAAAAATTTACTAAATAAAATAAGAAATTACATTCAATGCACAGTGTTATTTGCACTAATAAACTTGGTGCGTTATTAGTGCACAACTGTTTATTTCCCAAGAGTAAGTTAACAGGAGGCCTCTTTCTTGCATTATGCACATAAAAGCTTTTAAAAACATACTCTGTCTAAAAATGTTCACTTAAAAATGCATTACAATGTATAACGAGTTCACTCTAATTCCATCAACAACAACACCTGAACAAGGTCAATTTTTGTTTTTTAAATGCTAAAAAAAATCTCATCTATAAAAGTAGAGCATTTCTTCCACTTCTATGATAAAGAAATAAGACATTTTGAAATTAAATTTTTAAAAAATTCAAAATAAGTGCAGTGAGATTCCATTTTGTTTGGGAAGAAGCACTAATTTCCTACTTCCTTAATGGGAAGAAAGATCACAAACTAAAATCTGAAAGAATTTACATCATAACACAAATTCAGTGGAAACTTGTCTTTTTCAAAACTGTAGGTAAAGCTTTGATTTATTGAACCTGAGCAGACATACTCTATTAATTAAGCAACACAAGCATGCTTTTTCCTTTTGCAAAACAACTAAATTACTTCTTTGGCACCATTTTGAAGCATCTTCAAAACACTGTTCATGTTTTACTGTCTCAAACAACAGACACAATCTGAAGTTTCACTTCTTCTGACTTTTGCTTTTTCGACATTTTGTAAGTGTTCCGAGAACCAGATGGCTTGGGAAGATTCATATTTCCAGATTTTACAATTGGACTTGAGAACACAGCAGGGGCATGTGACACATGAACAGAGTGTCCTTTCTTTGGATTAGAGCGTACTACTGAAGATTTGGGACTACCAGAGGGTTTCATATTCTGTGAGGAACTTGTTACCGACACATTTTCAGAAGATTTGCTGGACCTGATGCCTGATAAAGTTGTTGGCTGGTATATACTTCCAGCACCATTTGAAAGAGATGCAGATTTTAGATTAGGAGTGGACTTATTCTTTACAATATTATCTGTCCTTCCCAACCAAATAGGCTGGGACACCACAATATCTTCAGGGGACAATGGTTCCTCCTCAGGTGAAAACTCATTCAGTATGGCTGAGTCCTCCTCCTTGTTCACCATGTCATAGCCACTGCTGGGAGGCTCAGACGAGTCACTCCACAGAAGTCTTCCACAACTCCCAAACAGTTTGGACAAACCACCAAACATGTCTACCGAATTTCCTGACAGTCACCCTGTTGGAGACAAGAACATAGTATGGTTATCAATGGGGAACAAGTAGGGACACTAACTATACTAACATCATGGTTAAAATGTTTTCTGCACAGATTCTTATATTCTTCATAGTATCTCTTGATTTTTTTTTTTTTTTTGGTCTACACCCCTCCCTTTCTAAAAGGATCATCTTGGATATATAAGCATTTTAAACCTTGCATACTCAACAAATGTAAGTACATGCACTCCTCTGTAACAGGCAAGTTTACAGAGTTCAACAAAGTCACTAGAAACTGACAGGAAAAGAGGGACAGTAAAGGGTCACATTTACGTACTGGTACATAGAAGTAAACATGTGCAAGGTGACTGTCAGGTGAGAAACAAGTAAACAGACACTGATGATGATAGCAACAGAAAACAAAGAAGAAATAAACACACAGGAAGTGCAGTCATACAGGAAGGAATGAGAAATGTTCCCATGCATACACATAGACATTCTTGATTTTAAAAATCTAGTGAAAGTTGCAATTTGTCTTAGCTCCTTTACTTTCCATCCAATTTTCCTCCTTCTAGGCACTGAAATTTTATATGAGAAAGAATTTTGTATCTTCAGTTAGTTGTGTGTAGACCTTGACGTTTCAACTGTTGTCTATCGTAGAGCAGTTTATTATACATACATATGTAGGTAAGGGTACACCTGGCTGTAATATATGAGTTCATGCACAACTGTGAATAACACATATATGTATACATTTAATGTATTCACCTGCTCAGGCAAAGGTGAAATGGCTGTGTATTGGTGACATGCCTGTGTATTGGTGACATGCTTGTGTATTGGTGACATGCTTTTGTATTGCTGAAATGACTGTGTATCGTGGTGACATGCCTGTTAGTAATGAAATAGGAAGACAAGGATGCAAAAATCACATGAAGGAAATCATATTCTTTCATTCAATAACCTACAGAAAATAATCTACAAAAGGTACATCCCACGTATTGTGTCAAATATTAATCCTTGTTAGATGGATAACAATGCCTTACTACATACCAACTGTTGAATATACACAGATTTATTTAGGTCAAGCTATGTTATGATTAAAAACTTCAGGCACATACAGCTATTATACACTGCAATAACTAGCTATTTACCTTCTCTCTCTTCACTTCCTATCATCCATTGTCATTTAATGGATTGAAATTAGATAAAGCGATATTATACAATGACAATTAAGGAATTATGCGCCGTGGGCTCTCGACAACCGAGAACTTGTAAAATAAACGCAAGCAAGATGGAGAACACTTCCTATAGAGAGTTGTATTCCGCATGACTCATTTTTACCTGTACTTTGTTACCTTATTACGTCAAATTCCAATCAAAAATCACAGAATTCTACATTTTTTTTCTTCTTTTAAACATTTTTTTTTACACATACCTCTGTTTTGAACTGATTTTTCAGACAGGTCAAAAGGTTTAACACCACACAAAGGCTCATTTGGTAAACATTTTCCTTCTTTTAAAACCCAGTGTGTGTGTATTTACCTGATTGAACTGTCAAAGTCTGAAGTTCGGTTGACTAATTGACATATGAACGTGTTTAAATCCATGTAGAAAACAATGAGAAAAAATATTTACCTCTTTGTGTTAAAAGTGTCGTTTTTCTCGCCGTCTACACGTGTGTCAAATGAACCCCATAGGTATTCACAGGTGTGCCAACCAAAACAACCACAGCAAGGGGGTGGCACTAAAGTTTTGATAAGTCACGTGACATGTCACACGACATCACTTGAATTTTACAGCTCACCTGTACAAGGAGAAGGAGCGTGAATGGGCACAGTTGTACCATCGGGAAAAAAGTATGTCCCTTAGAACTGACCACAATGCTTAATCACACTTTAATAACTGAATTTCGATAGAATTTCCTCCTTTGAACCAGAACGAATTCATTATTTTTTTTTCAGAAGACTATAAAAATTATTTTTCAATCATTCGTTTTGCCACTTAAATTCTCACTTTGTTACGATTATTTAGAATATGAGAAATGTACCTAACATGACAAACGGAGATACTTGCAATATGGTATTGAAGCTATCTGTGGAACAGTTATACACGGCTGCACCTTTTTTCCGAAATGATCGCAGACACAGAGCTGTTTACTCTGCAGTTTTCAGTAATCTAAATATCTTCCATGTAATTTAAGCTTTTCATCCATAATTTATAATAATTGGCAATGCATTATTTAAATTTGATAACAATTATATGAAAATGTTTTTGTTACGTTGATAAATGATAAGCTGAATATCTTTATATCTAATTTATTCATTGCATAATACACCCAAGCAGTTACAAAATTTAATACATATATGACATACAGTTAAACATATTAAAATCGGTGTAACTAAAGTTTATTTAAGTATATCCTTATTATTAGGGGATATCTTTATTGTGTGATTTGATATTTGCTTTAATATCCAATGAGTTGAAATGGTGTATATTCGTGAGGCTTGCCGAGCTAATTATTATTATAGGAGAACAATCCGTAATCCGTATTTAAAACAAAATCTGGGATGAATACGGAATTTCCGTAATAGTAAATAGCGTGTATTTATTAAATAAGTGTACCTCCCCCTTTTTGATGTATTTTAGATATGAAATATGTAGTCTTTACTAGACAATGGCTAGGTAAAACAGAAACTTTGATTTCATCATAGAATGCGAATGAATATACCTGTATTAATTACCTCTTACCAACCTCTTTGGATGCACTGTATCAAAGTGCAAAGAAGTTTAGAATACTGGTACGTTTGTCTATTCTAAGAAACAGACAAATAGGACTGATTTTAGAAATAAGCTCTACATTTGTCAAGACACTTCGGACAGATTTTTGCTTTATCAACTATTGATCAAGGACATCAATCGATGTAATTTTAATCGAAATTGGTTTGCTCTCTGCTTTGATGTTTAGCTGCTATGCTTCTCGACTCTCATCGGGTGGCATAGTAGAAGGGATGTAAGGTTTTCTTTACAATATCTTACTCAAAAAGTCTAAAGACTTTAGCGTATTCCGAACAGCTAACGTTTACCAATTCTATAATTAGTATACTAGTCTGAAGGCGCGTGGTTACGTCATTAGCAGGAACAACAAAGCACACGTCTGTCGGGTTCTCCGAGGAAAAAAAACATGAATGAGATTTTGGCGGAAGTTGTTAACAGCTTGTGCCTATCAGTGTTCGCGGGATCTGGCATACTACTCCTGGAGTGGCGATTAGCAGATCTCAGCAGGAAGGCATGCGGGTTGCTCCATAGAGCACGTCCCTCTGACCCTTTTACACACATCTTCATATCAAAATTATCCGATGTTAACTCTTTAGGTGGTAGGAAGTACATACATATAGCATTAATAAAGAGTTTTGAGAAAACAGACTCCATCTGTCAAAAATCTAGTCTGGTTCTCAAAACATTAAACTTAGCTTGTTTTATACATTTTGGCATTTCCCTTTCACGCCACATGTTGCACGTGTAAAAATCTCTGCAATACACTGTTTTATAAAATTCAATCGTTTTGTTTGAAAGAAACAAATGACACTGGCACTGGTAATAGACTCCGCTTGAAAACATCATCAAAAACATATTCTAATCATTTTAAAACTGATTTTTGATAATTATGAAAATATTAGCCTACATTAATTTAGTGTGGTTGCAAATTACAACTTACTTGTGAAATATGAAAAAATCCTCATCCACCCAACATTCCGACTCCATTCGATAAAATGGTTTATAATGCACGTGTGCCAGGCCGCCAACGCTGTTATTAAAATGTATACAATTTTTTCAGCTGCTAAGGTCAAGGTGAGCAGGAAATACAACTCATCTGTGGAATGCAAGTATCCGAGGTCACGTGATTTCTTAAGATGCATATCATCCTTAACAAGAAGTTGGCAAAGAAGTAAAATATAACGAGAAATTGGTACGCTGCATTAATGTTGGCCTTTTGTCACGCGAGCTGTTTAGGCCTGTTTAATTTTGTTGCGTTATCTGGCTGTTTGTATTGATAAGTAAAGGTTAATAAGCAAAGATAATCTTAATAAATTTTACAAAAAGAAGAATGAACAGAAACCTCTTCGTTCCATGCTTATTTTAGAAGAAAAAGTGTCAAAAACGTGAAGATTCAACAAGTCTTTTATTTAAAAAGACTACAAAATACAATAAATTTTCCTACATGTAGTGAACTTCACTATTAGTAAATCCATCTCATTCCCTCATGCAATGGCCTGGTTTTTGTAGATTGAAGAACATTATTGATTATCTTTTATTTAAAAGTCTACCTGTCCATTAAAAACTATGAAAACACTTTTTGTATCATATATTATAAAAACTCATGTAAAATTCTCTTATTCAATTGACTTTTGAACTACATTATTTACAGTGATTATTATCAAAGGTGAATAACAAAGGGGAATAAGTTCTCTCAGTAGAATACAAATTAATAGAGCCCTGCCCAGCACCAAAACACTTGACAAAGGGGTCCAGAATTTCCAAAACTGGTAAAAATACACTTGCTTATTATAATTCTTTCTGTTTGCCTCTTAGGTGCCCAGACAGGAGCAGAGAAGATTTTCAAAGAAATAATACATTTTCAGATTGAACATAGCTCCTCCGCAGCACCAGAATCCCTGACCTATAGATGTCATGAAATAGAGGCACACTTGCTCATCATAACTACGAGGTAATCAAAAAGTTGGCAAACTATTTGTATATACATAACCACAATTTAGATCTGAATGAAATTTGGCAGACATATAGTCATAAATATGATCTATAAATAGCATGTGTTACATAATATTTTGCTCCGCGTTTATTAAGTCACAATGTGAAAATGACTTCAGTATGCAGATGATCTGTAATAAAAAATGATTGACTCAGTCGTACTCGAGCAAGGAACGGCTGTAAAGTTTAACGTAAATCTTGGGAAAATCTTTTCCAGTAATATATATAATCATTTGTACAAGGTTTATAATAACAAAGGACTAACCAAAAGTTCAATCAATATTTGGATAGATTGCTTTAGTGAAGGAAGGGAGATGGGTAAAAATGACGTTCATTCTGGTGCCCAGTGAAAGTAAGATGTGTGTCCTTAGTTGAGCAATTTGTAATGAAAGATCGCCAAAGTCACAGAGAAATAAGCTGAATATCTTAACAGTAAAATGATTTTTAATCCCCTAAAATTTCTTTTATTTTAGACTGTTAACAGATCAGATATGATAAAGAGAAAGTGCCCATACCTGATCCACATTGGATACACGACGAACCCAAGACAGAGGAATCGAATTGTCATAGACACCATTTTCATATTGAGAAAATTTATTCTAATCCACCCATTCTAATGCCGAAAGTTGGCAGTTTGTGACAAAAATGTTTGTAAAAACTTTTTGATCACCCCTCATATGCACTTATCTTATCTGCTAAATATGCAGGAGCAGAGAAGTCGATTTTTTTAAGAAGAATTAGTGCATTTTCACTATATAATCAACGGAGTCCTTCTCTGACAACGAATACTGACTTGGGGATCATGAAATTCACAATTTTGAATGAGACATCCTTGGTCAACATAACTATGCACTTATTTAGTTTGCTTAATACCCAGGAGCAGAGAAAAGGAAACATCATACACCAAAACCTCTGACCCAGGGGCCATGAAATTCACAATTGGGAAGAGGCACCCTTGCTCGTTATAACCATGCACCTAGTTTATCTGCTAATATATTGTGGGATAGAAGAGGATTTTGAAAGACTTGATGCATTTTCACAATATGATCATCAGAGCCCCAACACTAACTCCAGAACTCCTGACCCTGGGGCCATGAATTTCAAAATTTCGGTAGAGGGCTCAATGCTATTACAATCATGGCAACAGTTCAACTGCTTGATGTCCAGGAGCAAGCAAGATTTTTTTTTTTTGTAAAAAAAAGATTGCACTTTTTTGATGGTTTTAGCCCCAACCCTCAGGGGGGACAGGGACCATGAAAATCATCATTTTTGTTCCCCTTCACTTATGGATGCTCCAGTACAAAGTTGGTTCAGTTGTTCAAGAGAAGAAGCTGAAAATGTTAAAAAAAAATTACGACCAACACCGACGACGAACAAAAACGGATATCAATACGTCACATGAGTGACTCGGGTGACCTAAAAATTCATCGCCCGAGACTTCGCTCTCTGCCGTGGTAAAATGTATGCTAGTTTCGCGTTACATAGTACGAAAGTTACGCGTTTATTCGCGAAAGTTTCGTATTATAACGGAAAAACTACTTTTTTTAACCAGCGAAAATAGCTCAATGGCCTTTCATAGTCATGATTTATTTTTTGAAATTCTTTCAAAACACTACGCCTCTTACAGTTTTGGTCCGTTTTCAATAAAACTTGGTATACAAGTAGACTTAACTGAGGCGATAAATTCTATTTGTAGATGTTGTCATAGCCTTTAAAAAATGTTTCTCTCCCACAGTTTTGATTTCAACAAAACATGAAACAAGAATATAAAATATTAGGATACCGTAAATAACTGTGTAAATGTTTAACTAAAATCCAGGAGCATCTAAGCAAGCCAAGGACCGCTGCAGAGTATTGCTGACCAAAAACATTGGCTTGCAAAGATGCTCCTGGTGCCACTTTTCCTTTTAAGTTTTTTTTTATCAATACAACTCAATAAAGCTACACGTACATTCTCACCAGAGATTTCTCTTTGATAATCGTTTCTGGCGATTAGTAAAAGATCAAATTTAAGTATTTACCTCAGTTACTCACTTTTTTTGGATGAATTTCGGACCTTGAAGTATTAGAAATAGATACAGTCGGTACATTTATGTTCAGGATTCCTTTAAAGAATTACGCGTATTCACAAATCCTAGTCACAACTGAGGACATGTTAGTGCAATATTCCCGTGCCAGTTTTACAAGATTCTCAAACAAACGGGATTTAAGGAGTTCCAAAACTGCTTGTGATGTTAATAATAAGTAGTTTTGTTTCAAAACAAATAGTAGAGAATGTATTTGATACAGTGACGGTCAAAACGATGCTAACATGTATATTACCCCTCTCTGCCGAATCCATTAAGTGGCTCCAGAGGCTGAATATCAACAATGCTAGTTTAGACGAAATACACGTTTATAAACCTCCCAAACCGTCTTGTATCATTTAAAGTACAAGCGGTATCTATCCTGTTTGTAGAGTTTAAAAAGTAGGAAAACTATTTTTTTTCATGGAAAAAAAACAACAAATTATAAAAATGTCACTGGAGTGCCAAATTCATTTGAAAAACAAAATACCAGAAAAAAATTCCACACTTTATTAGAGGGTGAAAAATTTTTTCCAGTATTTTTTTTTTTTTTTTTTTTTTTTTGCGATAAAAACTTCAGACTTCTGTGCTCATACACATCCCATTTCATAATAGTCAATTCAGAAGAAAATCAGCTTTTAACGGGCATCAGAAAGCTATCCAATTCTAAAGAATAACAAACTTCTTTCGTTCACAAAAATTGGGGGTTCATAGTATTTATACATTTACATGCCTGTATCGAGGAGCAAGCCCTGTGCTCTGACCTCCCAAGATCAGTTTACATTGACAATAGGAATGTTTCAAAAAGGAAAAAAAATCAAAAATGTCTTTCAAAACTTTTGCCCACTGAACATTTAGTTATATATTAGTTTACACAAGCTATAAAAATCAATTTATTTTTTAATCTTTCATTTATTAACAATATTGCACAAAAAAAGAGTTTAAATCACAATCCAACAAACTGTTGATGTTGCTTATAACACTGCATTCTGTAACAATATATCTGACAACTGCTGCTTTCTGCCAGTGTGAATGACATCTGATTTAAATAAATGACGTTTGTCCTTTGAGTCTGAGGCTTCAAAGTCTTTCCAGTAAATGAAACCCATGGAACCCAGTTCATCCCTCTGGGGGGTCAAAGTTCTGTAAAAATACCAGTTTTTGTGGTTGGAGCTTTTCTCTGCATATTGGACACTCAAGCTGAAATGACAAAAGAAGAAGTTGTTCATATTTTCTTTCTTTCTTTCAATGCTCTATTTTGTTTTATATAATTGAGAACATTGTAAAAAAAAAAAAGCCTTAAAAATATGATTGTAACTTTCAGTGGCCATTTTGACATGACATGTTACATAACAGTACATCTTGATAAATACTGTATACATGTACTATAAACCATTGTCATTTACAATAACTTTAATTTGTGATTCATCAGTTTGAAATCCATCTGTGACAATTAATTTTAATGACTGAGAAAACATTCCATTAAATAATGCAGTGAAAAACATTATAAAAGTAAAAGAAAGTCACGAAACTTATAGGTATTTCTCACATATGAATAAAAGTTGGTTTACATTAACAGAAAACCTTATTTTACAATACAGTAAAACATGCTTATAGCGAACACACTTATAATGAATTGATGCTTACAGCAAAGTGATTTTCATTCCCTATGACTTTAAACTATATTGTAAACTTAAATTTTGCTTATAATGAAGAAAAATTGTTTGTCCTTGGCACTTCGTTATAAGTTGTTTTACTGTACGTCCAGTAAAACACTCCCATAATGAACATGCTTATAATGAATTGATGCTTACAGCAAAGTGATTTTCATTTCCTGTGGCTTTAAATATATTGTGAACTTAACAAAAATAAATCATTATGTTTATAATGAAGCAAATTTGTCCATCCTTGGCACTTCATTATAAGCATGTTTTACTGTACATAGATTACCTTAGTAGAGCACCATTCATAGATACATTGCCAACAGAACAAATGGCCACAAGGTGTCGTTGTGGGTTTCCTCCTTGTCTCCAGACACAAACAGCACTTCCTGTCAGCAGCTTCACTTGTTGTCTTTGAACTGAAAAAATTTCATTAATTATCATACCAATTAAAATTTAATCATTTGTTAAAAAAAAAAAAGTGAAAGGATTATTATTTGCACATAAAATTAATTAATTCATATCCTAAAAATGCCGTTGGAAAAATATAAAATAATTTTCCTACCTACCTACCCTATTTTTTTCAGGCGGGTAGCAGGAAACAAGACTATTATTTTTTTTTGGTCTAAGTGTATTTTATCAAGGACAAAGTAGAAAAATGATTGCTCAAACAAATACCTATAAGTCTCTCTTCTAACACATGAAAGAAACATTTACATGTATGTCAAATTTAGCTAGTTTCTAGAAAAATGACTGTAGGACTTGGCACCCGTCCTGTTGCCCCATTATTGTTCCAGTGTCACAGATTGAACAAACTTAATCTACCGGTACATAATATCAGGTTGCCTTCATTTAGTAACATCATAAATTGAAGTGATGTACTTCTTGAAATTAACAAATTTTCCTAAATATCCCTTAGAACTTCACACTCTCCTGTGGTGTATCCCTTTATTTGATTTACTTGAATCCCCTTAGAAAAGGTGAAAAGTTTACGTCAATGAAAGATAGCCAGCATCTGAGCCCTTGCCCAAGGTAAGCTACTAAAATTCCAAAACAAAACATTTAAAAACCCTATTTGATGACTTAATTTATTTAATCATTAATAAATAATTCTTACCTGACTTCTCTATGAGAGGAGGGGGACCCTGCAGATTTGTAGCTATGATACAACAGTTGTAACACACTGAAGCCTAGCTGTGCCAGTGACAACCAACCAAGAGCACTGAAACTCTGCTGAACACTTGATCCTTCAGTACTGGATAAACTGAACTTGATCTATTATAATATAAACATAGTAAATTATCAAACATTGGCTCACTACTCAAAGAATAAAGAGATATTGAAGAGGAAATTCCGAATTCAACAAAATAAGATGAACACTATCCTGGGCCATTTCTGTCCTATAATAGTATTTTTATCTCTCATACCTGAATGTATAAAATACTGCGGCATAATATTTAAGACATCATTTTTACGAATTCAAGAAAACTTACGTAGCTGACACCTGTCAATCGTTTGGCGATGTGATAGAACACACCTCTGAGATAAAAAACAGCCAGATGAAACCTCTGCAGAAGTGACATTGCTTGTTGAAGAACAGGAAGTGATTTCAGAATAAGCTCCCTTGTTTCCTTGGGAACACTATCCCACTCTCCAGACTGTATTTTCTTTTCCATCCAATCCAGAAGACGGATAATTGCATAGGGACCAAATACATGGAGGGAAACCATTATCAACCTTTTCTGTAGATTAAACAATGATATCAACCTTTCTTTTCTTTTCAGGTCAATCCCTATAACATGTTGAATTTACTTCAGGGGTTGACACCAAAAGAAGACTGATCAAATTTCTATAAACCTGATTACACATATTTTTTTATTATTTGAAAATATATGCTACAAAAGTTCAATTCTCAAATTTTGAAAAGAAAATCTGAAATTATGCAGGACAGATATTCTCTGACTTAGGTAAATACTGTATTAACATTTTCAATTTTTCAATGAAGAATGATGTTTTAGTGGACATGTCAAATTAACATTTACAAAATGATACAGGGACTAAAGGTCATGAAAAGTTTGGCACCTATATCACTGTCACTTACCAGTTTAGATGGTAGGTTCCGTCTTTGTTTATCTATCTGTATGATGTTGACATATTCCTCTCCAACTGTCTGATATCCTGAAATTATACACATTTTTTTCACTGGATCAGAGCAAATGAACATAAAATAAAATGATCTTTAAATATTCATTTTTCATAACTGGAAAGCATTACCAGCAACTGTTGTAAGCAAGAAATATGTGACCTCAGCAACTCGGTCCACTTCATTTTTCCATCTGATCCACACCCCAGGACCTTGCGATATAAAAAGTGACCCATTTATCAACAGCATTTAGAAACCTAAATGTCCTACTAATTAAAAATTATTGTTAAATATGGCATTTAAATTGATTATATGTACTACATGTAATATAAAAAGGGCAACATTAAAGACTGTTAAAATCAACTTTTTATATTCTTTATATCCAGTAGCTAATTGACAAATTATATATATATATATATATATATATATATATATATATATATATATATATATATATATATATATATATATATATATATATATATATATATATATATATTATAAAATGTGACATTGCTATAGATAGGAATTGCTTTACACATGTTCTCTAAACAAATGTATTTCTAAGGATTGTTAGAATATTAAACTTTTGCCTGAAAAAGGCAAACATGATAAATTGGAAAAAAGATGATCGATAATAACTTCAAAGTTGTTGTATAATCTGTTTCCTTGAAAAAACTTTACTGTATTTTTGAGCCAGCAAATAAAAGAGCCTACAGAATGATGAGAGTGTAAACCGTGGTGTTACTAATAGGAACACTAATTGTTTCCTTGTTTCCCCCTCCTTATAAGGGCTTCACCCCTTTGCTATGACACTCTGTCACCTAAGCATTTCCTCTCCTGCACCATAAGGGTTAGATAGAATGCTTCATTGTTAAAATGACATTGTCCTATGGACCCAGTTTGACAATAGAAATTAATTCATGTGTTTTCAGTGTAGAAAAAATAAACATGGACAGATAAACTCTAATCTAGTCAATCTACATACATACAAACATCAATGAACACTGCAAAGAGTTCTAAATATTGAAACTGCAAATAAATTTGAAACAAGAAAGGAAATGTCGAGTAAATGTATTGCAATTTTCTTTTACATGCATTATGGATTAATTCCTTGGTTAGAAAGTACGTAAAATTCAAAGAGGTATTTTAGGATTAATTATGTGGCATTAATTGTGAATTTTATGCCATCCGACAACAAATTCACAACAAGCGAGTTTATTGTCTGTAGAATTGACTAGAAAGGGTAAGGAGATGGATAAAATATACAGATTGGTTATAGACAGGTCTGGTACAATCTCTTGATTAAGCTATATGGCTTGATTAAGCTATATAGCTTTATTAAGCAATTCAGAATAGCTTGATTTAGCTATTTTATCACACTTTTTTCTTAAATATGTTATTTTCTCACTATGCAAGAAAAAGTGGCACCTTGGTGCAGTGAAAATGTCTCATCTGAAAATAATGCATGTAAACATGGTAAAAATCACTCATCAAATTGCATCTCCTTAAGAGACTTTGTACTCAAAAGTTCTAAAAGTTTTAGGGCTATATAAAGCAGCTGACACAACTAGTTACTTCTTCAATGAAATTATAAAGGAGGCTAATTATGGTCAGAGAAGCAATCATACTTATCCATGCCTCAACGCACACAAGGTCGTGTACAGTTACTCAAACAATGGAAATACATCTTTTGCTTAAAAGTATTCAAATGCTGCAAATGTTAGAAGTATCTTTGATTTCAGTTGTTGTTTTGATAGCCTATAGTACATATATGAATAGTCAAATACTTGCGACTTTTTTGTCTATTTCTTACAAAAAACATTTTTCTGAAAAACTGCACATAAATAGCTGTATCAAGCTATTTTGAATATCTTAATAAAGCTATATTAAGCCATTTCAAGCTATATAGCTAAATCAAGAGATTGTGCTGGACCTGAATTAGTTAGAATAATCTAACTGTGTCTCGGGACAAGCCCTCAATACAGTTAGAATACGTCCCATATACTTGCAATGTAGCAAATTGGAGTGGATCCACTCCAAAATGATTTCGAAGAATACAAAAGAGTCGCACTGAAAATAACTACCAAATTAATCATAACAAACCTTTTTGAAATTGTATATGCCTTTTAACCTAAATAATAATCCATATAAATAGGAAAATTCAACTCATTTTCTCAACGTTTTTTTCCTCGCTTCAAATTTAATGCCATGTTACATTCGGAACTCCTTGGATTGTTCATAGAAAATGCACAGAGTTCGAGTTATTGCCTGTGTTTATTTTGCAACATTGCCAATACATGAAACGAATTCTATCGTTAAACCGGGTCCGTAGGACAATATCATTTTAACGATAGAACCACAGGCACTTGTTTCGGTAATAAATTTTTAACCCATAGTATAATAATAACACAAGGTATCTAACTCCGAATTACACAGAGTACCCTTCTCCCCCAGAATCGCACTCATTTACACTTTCAGACGAAATACACTGACAAACTGTTTATACCTATGTTTTCTACGATAATTTATCTACAAAACCATGTATGGCATGCTTATCTTTATTTTCCTTAGTCTCCATAAACAGCATCAAAACTCTGCTCGCCGTGTGGAAAAGTCGAATTCAACCATGAAATGGTATGTACTAATCCCGCATAGAGAGCAAAATTAAAAAATGAGTGGGTTTAAAAATTAAATTCCAATGTTTAAATATTGCATGAGTAAATAGAACTTGTTTACGTCTGATATTCCCTGAAAACATTACGATGTTTATCCGATGTAATTTTAGAAACAGATTTTTAGCCAATCAAAATCTGTGTGCGGGATTAGCACATACCATTTTATGGTTGAATTCGACTTTTCCACTCGGCAAGCAGAGTTTTGACGCTGTTTACGGAGACTAAAGAAAATAAAGATAAGCATGCCATACATGGTTGTGTAGATAAATTATCGTAGAAAACATAGGTATAAACAGTTTGTCAGTGTATTTCGTCTGAAAGTGTAAATGAGTGCGATTTTGGGGGAGGGGGGTACTCTATGTAATTCGGAGTTAGATACCTTGTGTTATTATTATACTATGGGTTAAAAATTTATTACCGAAACCAGTGCCTGTGGATAGAACGTTCTATCTAGACCTGAATATGTTGATCTAGAATTAGGGAATGAAAGGTAGTTGATTGACCAATGCTGGAAAGTGGCTAGATAGAATGTTCTATCGTTAAAATGATAAATGTCCTACGGATCCGGTGAGGGCCTGCCCTGAAACACAGTTAGATTATTCTAACTAAAAAGTGACGAAATCTGGAAACGGGATCTCTAGCATTATGGTCAAAACTAATATATAAAACCATAATGCTACAGTTCTGCAGCTACAAATATGGCATGTTACCATAAACTCACATATTTTTTTTTATTTGGCCCTACATCTATTTTGATACAAACCAAATATTTCTTGAAAAATCTCAGATACTGGGTTTTTTAAATAGCCAGTGTAAATGTCATCTTTCTGGTGCGATCTGATGATTTCCGCGACACCCGCAGGTTGTCTCATATCTATAATTCCTAAATGGTGATCAGCCAGGTCGATTTCCAAATGAAAATGAAAGTAGGGCGTATGTAAAAGTAGGAAGTCTAAATTTGTCCGCAGTGCCTTCTCTCTCTCTCTCTCTCTCTCTCTCTCTCTCTTAACCATATTACAAACAATGAATAGAATTCTTTTTCATGAAACATTGACTGATGCTGTAAATACAGAAGAATTCTAATTCACAGGTTTATATTGTTCAAACAGAAGTGTATGATAGTAATCATGGTAATATTGTTATACTCCACCTTTACCCTAACCACTAGGGCCGTGGGTAAACATGGAGGACTTAAACAGTCTGGCATCATGCTTAGGTGTTTCATCTGGAAAACTTGTGATAGATTCTAAGGAACAGGTAAAAATGTTGAAATTGTATGGCTTAGATTCGATATTTTATTTTATTTTACTTACTAAAGGAGTAAGCGTTTCAGAAAAAAACCCACAAAGTTGTAATACTAAAATATTCTTTGCATGACATGCCCCTAGACAGAGAGAAGCAGATAGTTGGAAGGAATATAAATTAAATGTTATCATTTTACTTTTTCAGGTACCTGTGCTTAAAGCAGGAAATGGCGTTACAGTAAGAGGTCTTGTATCTGTGGCTAAACACCTGGTTAGACAGTCTGACTGCCCTGAATTGAAAGGTAGTGCCTCAACTCCAGGGATAAAACAATTAACAGTTGTCCATTGCCTGGGGCATTTGAAATTTCAGTTCGTGCAAGTGAAACTCTCAGCTTACTTGTCTGATGGGGCAAGTGAATATGGAACGACTTTACCGGTCCCCAGAAAAACGCACTAAAATATAGTGTCGCCGTAGGCGACTTCAATATAATATGAGATCGCGTGGGCAATCAAAAAAAAAATAAAAGTATGAGATTTTAAGCATTTTTGACCCTAAAATCAAATTCTACAGTTAAAAGTTTAGTTTAAAACTTCATTTTTAAACGAAGATTTTAACCTTGTTCTCTGAAAAAAGTAGTAAATATTGTTTATTCAGTGAAAAGGAGACAAAAAATAATTGTGAACGAAGCGCGTGGGGCGCATGCTTAGTGCCGTTTCTTTCGTACTTAGCCATTTTTTTCATGTAAACAAACCAACGAGATGTCGTTGAAGCTGAATTAAAATCTTGCAAAAAATACAGATGCAACTGAATTTCTTAATTAATCGAAAAGAACAAGACACTAACCCTAATATCTCGGATGGTATGCGAGGACTAACCCAAATCTCACAGGTGGATGGTAGACTAACCCATGTGTGAGGACTAACCCTAATCTCTCGGATAGATGCAAGACTAACCCTAATCAGTCAAAAACTTGTGCAAGGACTAACCCTAATCTGTCAGGTGGGTGCAAGACTAACCCTAATCAGTCTAAAAAAGTGCAAAACTAACCCTAATCAGTTGAGTGATGTAAATCTTACATCACAGTGCATTGAGCGAGCGGATCTTGCAGATCTGGGGACCAGTAAAGTAAAGTCTAGTAACCGTGAATATTTCTACTAGAAATATTTCATATAATAATACTTGATTTTTTTTCTTAGAGATGTTAATTGTTTCACATCAAGTAACGTTCATTCAATAATCTTGTGACTTTTTAAAACAAAATTACAAATTACGATGTAGTTTTTAGCTCACCTGAGCCGAAGGCTCAAGTGAGCTTTTCTGATCACATTTTGTCTGTAGTCCGTCTGTCCATCTGTCTAGCTGTCTGTCTGTCTGTCCGTCTGTAAACTTTTCACATTTTCGACTTCTTCTCCAGAACCACTGGGTCAATTTCAACCAAACTTGCCACAAAGTATCCTTGGATAAAGGGGATTCAAATTTGTTCAAATGAAGGGCCACGCCTTCTTCCAAGGGGAGATATTGAAGAATTCGTGAAAAATTAATGGCATCATTAAAAAATCTTCTTCTCAAGAACCACTGTGCTTGAAAATATGAAACTTATGTGGTAGCATCCTCAGGTAATGTAGATTCAAGTTTGTCCAAATCATGACCCCTGGGGGTCGGATGGGGCCACAATGGGCGATCAAAGTTTTACTTAGGAAAATATAGGAAAATTTTTTAAAAATCTTCTTCTCAAGAACAACAAAGCAATGATTGGTCATATTTATATGGAAGCATCCTCAGGTAGTGTACATTCAAGTTTGTTCAAATTATGATCCCCGGGGGTCGGGTGAGGCCACAATGGGCGATCAAAGTTTTACATAGGAATATATAGGAAAAATCTTTAAAAATCTTCTTCTCAAGAACAGCAAAGCCATGATTGGTCATATTTATATGGTAGCATCCTCAGATAGTGTAGATTTAAGTTTAATGGGCGATCAAAGTTTTACCTAGGAATATATAGGAAAGATCTTAAAAAATTTTCTTCACAAGAACAGCAAAGCCATGATTGGTCATATTGACATGGAAGCATCCTCAGGTAGTGTAGATTCAAATTTGTTCGAATCATGACCCCCGGGGTGGGGTGGGTCCATAATGGGCGATCAAAGTTTTACATAGGAATATATAGAAAAAATCTTTAAAAATCTTCTTCTCAAGAACGGCAAAGCCATGATTGGTCATATTTATATGGTAGCTGCCTCAGATAGTGTAGATTCAAGTTTGTTCAAATCATGACCCCCGGGGGTCGGGTGGGGCCACAATGGGCGATCAAAGCTTTACATAGGAATATATAGGAAAAATCTTAAAAAATCTTCTTCTCAAGAACAGCAAAGCCATGATTGGTCTTATTTACATGGAAGCATCCTCAGATAGTGTACATTCACGTTTGTTCAAATCATGACCCCCGGGGGTCGGGTGGGGCCACAATGGGTGATCCAAGTTTTACGTAGGAACACATAGTAAAAATCTTTTTAAAAAACTATTTCTTAAGAACAGCAAAGCCATGATTGGTCATATTTATATGGAAGCATTCTTACATAGTGTACATTCAAGTTTTTTCAAGTCATGACCCCCGGGGTAGGGGTGGGGCCACAATGGGCGATCAAAGTTTTACATAGGAATAATAAGGAAAAATCTTTAAAAATCTTCTTCTCAAGAACAGCAAAGCCATGATTGGTCATATTTAAATGGAAGCATCCTCAGATAATGTAAATTCAAATTTTTTCAATTCATGCCCCCCCCCCCCCCCCCCCCCCAAGCCACTTTTATATTTAAACTTTTCAACCTTTCAAGACTGAACTGATTTCTGCTTTTTCCTAGCCATAGTGCTCAAGTGCTGAGGTGAGCGATGTGGCCCCTGGGCCTCTTGTTTCACTTACTGACAGAATAAATTATTCCGAATTTAATGTGCTAATTCTGATCATGGCATACATGTCTGTGATTCATGGCAAATATGGTATTACAGCATGGCTTTGAAGTCATCACTGTTAAAATATTTCTTGGGGGAAATAAATTCAAAATAATCCAAAGTACTTTAACGAAAATGATAGTTTCTAGAACTTTACTTAAATAAATGATTTGTAATAACCTAGGAAAACATATTAATCACTTTTCAGTGTTTCAATCCTATTTCATATGCTAATGAAATAAATATGATAATTGAGATACTTTCTTCTAAATTCAAGGCAACAAAGTTTTGCATTACGACAAGTCAAAAGTTGAATTGATTTGCCCAAAGGGCAAGTGGATCTGAAAGTTAATGTCTACCCCTGAGCCCACAATGCAACAAACTCATATCTTATGGATCGAATTGTGCATCATCCTTTGTGGATGGTGATCAAAGTGCATTTGGTCATTAGTAGACAGAATTTTGTATTATATTACTTAAAGTATTTGGCCTGGCTGCTTTGGAGTAAAATTCTGTTATGTTCTTAAATGTATTGAGTCACACACTACAATCTCATATTCAAGCAGGTTTCGGATCTGTTCAGCCATCAAGATGTCAGTGTTGTAGGGGATTGTCCAGTATGCAAAAACCAGTTTTGTTGAATGCCTCATACATCTGTATCAACAGACTAACTTTTGTGTGCAGAAACTATCATACACATGGAATCACTGGTCTGAAAAAAATTGGGATGGATGACCAGAGAGTTACAGTGTCACCCATTGAAAAAAGTGTATATTTATTGCTCACATAATCTCAATTTATTTCTCCTTGTTTTTCAAACTGCCATCTCAAAATATTACTATCCATGTGTTCCTAAACACATTCTTTTACTATTTCCACGACAAAACATTCCCCATAACTGTCGTTTGGCCTCATAAAAAATTTCCCCTTTTTAACTGCCATTCTGGGTGGCAAGACAATGCAGTCCAACATGTTTTGTGCTGATTTCAACTATGAGAAAAGTTGATAGAGGTCTAAGGAATTTTTGAAATTGAGCTTTTTGTCTGCAATAAATAAACAGTTTTTTCTATGGGTGGTACTGTAGCTCCGGTCTGTAATTATTTTTTTTACGGAGAGCTACATTTCTGCAGCAATAACTTTTAATGTATCTTGGGGTGAAAGTGTCCTGAGGCTGAAACCCCAAAATATATCAAAAGACCTCATTTTGGAATTTCTGTTGCATGTTGCTTTGTCAAATTGTATCTAAATCACATCAGCATTATAGATAACCATTCTTCAGGTTAAAGTGTGTTGGAACAGAAAGATGCCTCATTTTGTAATTGATTAGATTTTCTTCCCCATCTTCACATCTGTGGATCTACAACTAAGTATGAATTTGGTTAGAGTTGAATCATTCGGCAATCATAATTTCTACTACTCTGATAGGTGTACAACAATTAAATTTTGTCAGCTGATGTAAATGTACCTTGGAACATGGTACAACATGGTTCTAAAATAATAGTCTTACAATTTCCAATTTGTTATTGTGGTATACTGGTACTTTATTGTAAATTCAAAAATTTGTTAGTCAACATACATATCTCAAAAAAAAAAAATCTTTTTGCAGTTGAATTTTACTTGATAAATATGGCTGGACTAAAACTTAAGATTTTTTTTTTTTCAATTTAGGTACGAATCCAGAGGAGAGAGCAGCCATTGACCAGTGGTTAGAGTACAGAGTCACTCAAGTGGACAAGAGTCTTCATGATAAAGATATTACAACATTACTTAAGGTTATTGTAATAGAAAGGAAATATATGTCTGACAAACTAAAACCAGTGTACAGAGATACTGTATTAATATACTTTCCCAGTACTAGTATATCACTATATGTCTGGAACCCCCCCCCCCCCCCATAGGTTGGTGCTCAACCAAGTAACAATCAGGCCACAAGCAATCACTACGAAGTTGCCATATTTTACCATGCACAATATTATCCTTGTGTAAAATCTTTAAACTAGCAATTCAGAATTCTAGTTTTCAACAATTATTATGCCCCTCCCCTCCCATTTTACTAGGTGCTCTATTTCTAGCAGTAGAAAGATAAACTTCATTCATTATTTTTAGATCCCTGAATTTTATTTCTAGGACACCAACACATACATTTCAAACCATGTGTACTTAGTGGGGTATCAGCCCTCATTAGCAGATATAATTCTGTACCTTGGATTATTCAGGATATTTGTGAGTATTGTTACCTTTGAAGTGCGGTACCTTTTTTTTTTCAGCTCACCTAAGCCAAAGGCTCAAGAGAGCTTTTCTGATCACATTTTGTCTGGCGTCCATCTGTCTGTCAGTAAACCTTTCACATTTTCGACTTCTTATCAAGAACCACTGGGCCAATTTCAACCAAACTTGCCACAAAGTATCCTTGGGTAAAGGGGATTCAAGTTTCTTCAAATGAATGGCCATACCATCTTCCAAGGGGAGATAATTAAGAATTACTGAAAATTTAATGGCTTCTTTTAAAAATCTTCTTCTCAGGAACCACTAGACTAGAAAATATGAAACTTAGGTGGAATCATCCCCAGGTAGTGTTGATTCAAATTTGTTCAAATCATGACCTCTGGGATAGGATGGGGCCACAATGGATGATCAAAGTTTTACATAGGAATACAATCTTTAAAAATCATCTTCTCAAGAACAGCGATGGTTGATCAGAATCATATGGAAGCATCTTCAGGTAGTGTAGAATCAAGTTTGTTCAAATCAGGATCCCCAGGGGCAGGTAGGGGCTACAATTTTTCACATAGTTACACATAGGAATACATAGGGAAAATCTTTAAAAATCTTCTTCTCAAGAACAGCCAAGCTATGATTAGCCATGTAGAAGTGTCCTCATGTAACATAGATTCAAATTTGTTCAAATCATGACCCCCCCCCCCCCCCCCCCTTCCCAAAAAAAGTAGAGAGGGGCCAAAACAGGGGATCAAAGTTTTAAAAAGGAATATAAAAGATATATCAATGAAAATTTTCTTATGAACAGGAAGGTCATGGTTAGTCATATTAATTCAGAAGCATCCTCAGTTAGTGTAGATTCAAGTGTGTTCAAATTATGTCCCCAGAGGAAGGGCAAGGCCATAATAGAAAATCAAACCTACAGGAAAAATTCTTGAAATATCTACTAAAGTCATGATTAGTCAAAGAAATATGGAAGTATCCTCAGCTTGTGTAGATTCAAGTTTGTTCAAATCATCCCTCACCCCAAATACCACTTTTATATAAACTTTTCAATATTGAACTCCTAGCCAACATGCTCAGGTGAGTGATGTGGCCCATGGGCCTCTTGTTTTAATTAACAAAGACAATACTGGAAACCAACACCTTAAAGTTAAAATACTTTATTTCATCTATTTAAAATACTATCATCATTACTGTGGATTCATATTTTACACAAATATTTAATATCGCGAAATGGACCTAGTATTACAAATCGCGAGAACAATAGTTCCCGAGTAGACGATTGATCTAGAGATTTTACATACATTTCGTCGCTATGAAAATAAAAGCGAGTAATTTAATTTCACAAGTGGAGCTTCTTGCGAAATTACGCAATAATATTTTCCTCGCATATATTTACAGTAATGTATTTATCATTATGACATGTATTGTATGTCTTTTCTAGGAAGAGTTATCTTTTATGGAAAAACAAAAGTATGTCCATGTGTCACGCTGGTTCTCAAATGTAAGTCATTTTTTTTCTCTTGATTTTAATTTCAACAGAAAATCTGTAACTGGCTACAGAAGTTTTTCATCTTCATCAATTTAATTCAGCTGAATTTGAATAACTCAAATGTCAAAACCTCGAATTGAACCATGAATGTGTCGAAGTGAGGTGGAAGTCTCAACCAATTTTCTTTTTGTAATCTAACCTCAGTATCTCAAATCATAGGATATCAAAGTTTTTTCTCGGTCCAATCAACTTGGTGATATTAACAAGGTTTGACTGTATTTCTTCTTTTGCAGATGCAGTCCCACTTTGCAGACAGGATGTCAAAGAAACAGATTGTTTTTCAAAGGAATAAAATATTTAGTGGCACCAGTCATTAAACAGCATAATATTGCATTTGTTCTTAAATCTAAAACAAATTAGTGTAGATTCAAAATTGTTCAAATCTGGGGCTTAGATAGAGAAAAGTTTTATTCCAAAATATAAATAATGTTTACTAAAAGAGGGCTACAATTTGTAAACTTGAACATACAAAGCCTCAATAAACTGTAGGCATTACCAAGACTAAGCAACTACTCTTGACTTGATTGCCTGTTTTCTTTTCGGAAGACCTAGGTTCACTTTATGCATAAAATGGCCCTGTAGATATACCAATTTATTGACAAACAATCAATATCCCATTTCAGACATCAATATAAATTAAAGACTAAGTGTTTTCATTTCCTCTAAAAAAGTTTCCTCTGAGAGTCTAAGTATTGGAAAACAAGCTTTGTGAAATTGCAATATTCTTAAACTATGAAGAAAACAGGTTATTTGAGTACTTTTAGTGAAGAATAAAAATATGAGTGCACCCCTCCATCCAAAAAAAGAAAAGTAGAACTTGTATTTTTCAGAAGCAGTTCTATCATTATACAGTTGCACATTTTAGATCGGAGGTGCACACTATACACAATATTGAAAAATAGCTTTTACAGTTTGGCCGTTTTTGTAGAAATTTTCAGAATATTGGGAAAATGACACAATTCATAACATCGCAATGCATTGTCTAGCCAAAAAATTATATCATTTTTGAAAGATATGCAGTCACCAAAGGTCTAAATGAATTTTAATGCATTGTCCACTAAAACTAAGCAGTTTCACTTTTTCAGAAATTCATAGGGCCAAAAAAGGCACCAAGTGAACCTTGCTCTTTGATTGAGATTAATCTCGCAAGATTTATGAGTACAATTTTGGAAGAGCAAATGAAGAATGCCAAACATAGGACTGATTAATGCCATGTTTCTGCTAACTTTCATCAAGCTCATGTTTTGAGACCTTGAGCTTAATTGCTTCTAAAGTCTCTTTATTATACAAACTCGTAGGCAAAACTTGTCCCTAATGCAAAAGAGTTCCCATACAGCCTATAATTGATCATCTTCGCTAGCCAAGGGTTTCTGATCCACTTCTCTCCTCAAAAACCCTTGGCCTATGGTGCTGTCAAAAGTTGGGATTGTTTAAGTTGCACAGATTGCATCATCGATATGAAATAAAAAGCATATTTAAAAATAAAAGTATTTAAAGAATAATTAACAAGCAGGTATCAAGCGATGTTTATTTGTTATGTAGGGTGCAAACCTAGCTATATTTATTATATAGGTTCCCGATGACATTATGCACATATCTGCTTAAAGTTGGATGACACCATAGCTATTTATAGAATAGCACATTATCTTAAGGATCATTGTTTACTTGTGTCTTTCATTCCAGAGACTATAGAGTCAAGATATATCCCAAACGGAGATGTCGTCATTTACTACAAAGACATTCTTTGATTGGTCAAAAAATATCAATCGACTCTAATCAGACTCAAGAAAAAATCCTGACTTTTGACAGCACCATAGCCCAAGGGTTTGTGAGGAGAGTAGCGAATCAGAAACCCTTGACAAGTGAAGATGATAATTGATAGTAAAATGCTGAAAGTGTGGAAGGAAGTTGATTCATTTGTGACTCGGTGACTCTTGTGGCCCATGGGCCTCTCATAATAAGTTTGTGAGGTATAAATCCATCATGGAAACATTTCATTATTTCAGTGGAAAATCTGCAAAATTTTTAACATAGGTAATCAAAGATTATGAAGCTTGTCTCAACAAATGTTATCTATAAGTAAGGCAGTCTCACACAAAACAAATGTTGTGGGAGTGTGCATCCCTAAAGCCAGTTCCAAGCTTGGATTTATTTTTATTTATGAATGGATCTGCTTCAAAACCTTGACCTGGTCACTCATCCTGAAAATATAGGTCAGATCCATGACCTGAAGCAACTTTAGAATCCAGCATCCCTTGATGCATCATCCATGCAAGTTTTGTCACCATAAGGCTTATGGTAACTTGGAAATAAACCTTTTCTAATAAACCATTTCAGTCATCCAGTCAAATCCAGCAACCAAAGCATGTCATACATGCAAGTATTTTTTTTCAGGTAAGGCATACAGTTCCTGGGGAATGAACCTGCTCCAAAACTTCAATCTGATTACTCATTCAGAAACTGTAGGTCAGAATCCGAAGCAAATCTGGTTGTGTGAATACCTAGATGTGTTATCCATGAAAATTAAGTCCAGATAGGGGTTATAATTACTTGGGAATGCACATGCTATGAAAAAATTGAAGCTGTTCAATCACGTTGAAAATGTAGGACTCCAAAGCATCCATGCAAGTTTGGTCACAATAAAATATAAAATTAACTGGGAATGAACATGTTCCAAAATTTTAAACCTAAATGGTCACTTATCAAAACGAGAGCCCCATGGGCCACATTGCTCACCTGAGTTACTATGGCCCTGCTGTCCTTCATCAGCAAATTTTCCCCCATATACCTTCCTATGTAAAACTTTGATCACAAATTATAGCCCATTCTACCCCCTAGGGACCATGATTTAAAACAAACTTGAATCAACACTACTTCAAAATGCTTCCATATTATGGATTTGCTGTTCTTGAAAAGAAGATTTTAAAGATTTCTCCCACATACTTTGATGACCCAATGTGGACCAACCCTACCCCAGGGGAATCTACTTGAATCTGCATCTGAGGATGTGACTAGTGTTGTCAACAAGAATCTGGTTAACCGGTTCATTGTCAAATGATGTGAATATTGATTTCCCCCATATATCTGTTTCCCCCATATATTCGTATGTACTGGTAAAACTGATCACGTATTATGGCCCAACCTAGCCCACGGGGCCATGATTTGTACAAACTTGAATTTACACTAATGAAGCTTTCACATTTAAGATTCGTCTATCCTTGCCCAGTGGTTCTTGAAGCTTTATAAGCAATGCCATTAAAATTTCACTATTTCTTAATTATCTCTCCTGGAAAGTGGGCATGGCTCTTCAGTTGAACAAACCTGAATGCCCTTCAAACAAGGATGCTTTGTGACAAGTTTGGTTGTAATTGGCCAAGTGGTTCTGGAGAAGGTGATGAAAATATGAAAAGTAAAAAAAAATTGCAACGATGATAGACAAATTTTGATCAGAACAGCTACTTGAGACTTCAGCTCAGGTTGCTAAAACTAGGTCAGATACAGCATCTAAAGCAAGTCTGGAAGTGTGAATCCATAGATGCATTATCCATGCAAGTTTCGATACCATAAGGCTATAGTTAGGACCCTGCTCTGCAGGTGCCCCATAGTGATCAGTCTGTCTGTACCTCTGTCTGATTTCATTTGTCCAGAGCATATTTTCTCTCCCCTTGGGCTCATAATTCAACCAAAGGGTATCCTTGGGTAGAGGGTGTGCAGAGACCTTGAACCAATTTTCTACATGAAAGGTCATGGTTAGAAAGTGGAGGGATGTAATGACCTCAAACCAATTGTCTAGATTAAAGGTCAAGATTAAAAAAAGCATTTCTGTGTAACATCCTTGTCAAGAGCATTTTTTTCTCCCCTCTGCCCAAACTTCACCTCTAGAGTATCCATGGGTAGAAGGTGTGCAGTGACCTTTAACCTATTTTGTAGATCAAAGGTCAAGGTTGACATCTCTGTGTAAAATACTTGTCCAGATCATACTTTCTCTCCCTTGGCTCAGTTTGGCTCATACTTCATCTGCAAAGTCCTGTGGATAGAGGGTATGCAGTAACCTTTGAACCAAATTTCTAGATGAAAATCTAGATCAGAAAACCTCTTTACGTAAAATCCTTGTCTGGAGCATATTTTCTCTCCCATTAATCCTATCTGGATCAAACTTTGCCAGTAAGAATGCCCAAGGGTGTGCAGTGTTCATGGGCTGTTTCTAAGTTAGTGGTCAAGTTAGAGCAAAGCCCTAAAAAAAATTCTTTTTGTAGCATTTTTTTTCTATCATTGTTCTGATCTGACTCAAACATCACCTAAACAGTGCCCTTGGATAAAGGGACTTTCATCCTAATGTCTTTTGCCAAAAAAACCGGGAACCTTTGAGATGGTTCTGCAAAATATTTACTGAAAATGCAGCATCTCAAACCTGACTGGTACAATGAAATACACTATGCATTATCCATTAAATTCTGATCAAAAAATCATAGAATTATTTTAAAATAAATCTATTCCACTTTACCTGGGTGGCCTATGCTGAGGTATAGGTCCCCCCCCCCCTTCTTGAGCTAAGCTAAGAGGAAAAAAAGTTGAAACAAAAAACAACAACAAAATAAAGTAGAAGACCAACACTAAATTTATTATAGACTTTTTCATATATCTTTTGATGTACATACATACTGTAAATGTAAATGAATACTTATAAAGACACATGTAAGTGCTAATACTAATTCAAGTAAATATCTTGTCATTTCATATAAAATGTCTTTATCAGAAATAAAAATTTGTTAGAAATATTGCAACATAATTTTGCTAAGCAATAAAAATATAAAATTTTGATTTTTTTTTTTTTACATGCTTAAAAATGAAAGAAAATGAAATTCTACTTGTAAAAAATACATAAAAGTTTTAAATAGTACATGTAATAACACTATAAAATATTTTTTTTTAAATCAGCAGGAAAGATAACTTCCAAGACAACCACTTAAAGGTGAAACAATTAGGATCAGCAGTGCTGGAACAAAATTTGACATGCACATGATTATCCTTCCTTTCTACTGAGTTGTAATAAGGCCATCTTTAAAATAATGTTTGTTTGCCCTCTCCCGACTCAGGGTGAAAAAAAATCAGGTCAGTAGGTAGGTGGGAAAATATTTTTGATGTACATACATACTGTAAGTGTAAATGAATACTAAAGACACATGTAAGTGCTAATACTAATTCAAGTAAATGATATCTTCTCATTTCATATAAAATGTCTATCAGAAATAACAATTTGTTAGAAATATTGCAACATAATAATTTTGCTAAGCAATAAAAATATAAAATTTTGATTTTTTTTTTT